ACGGTAGCACTTTATAGACTAGTTGAAATATTTATTGTTACAAGCTTTCGTGTACACAGTACACTTCTTCACCTGAAGAAGTGTACTGTGTACACGAAAGCTTGTGACAATAAATATTTCAACTAGTCTATAAAGTGCTACCGTTTTCATATTATAAAGAATAATGTTATGTATAATTAGTTAGTACTGGACTCTCTCTTGTTTAATAGATGGATCTGAAATAGCTATTGCTATCCAAGTTTGGTACCTTAGTAGAAACTTTTTTCTATGTCTGCATGCACCAACTCACTCACTAATTGTTTATTTGGTTAAGTGTACTAGCTTCCGGAAGCTATGTATTGACACGACACAGATCCTATGGTACTGATTAAATCATGGAGGAATTAGTTCAGTACCACAGGATCTGTGTCAGTACATTTTGTCTTGTTTCTTGTTTTTGTTTTTTTTAAATAAAGATGTTACAATACTTATTTGTAAGTAAGTAAGTTTTACTTCATTTTTTTTAAATAAAGATGTAACAATAATTATTTGTAAGTAAGTTAAGTTTTACTTCATTTAAAATTCAATGTCTGTTTTCAGTTAAGGATCATCTTCTCGTTGGTGTTTGTTCGGGCGTAATAAGAACTTGAATAATTTCCACTAATCTAAGGAAGTTTTCAACTTAAAATAATGTTTTGCTAATATCGTAAACGAAAAATCAAATAAGCATTGCATAATACAGGATCCGGAGTAGCCCTCCCTTAATAGATATTTCAACATGTAAATTTAACTCTTTCTTTCTGATTCGTATGCTCATCTTTATTCATGCTTTTTTGCCTGTATTGTCCAATTCCTTCAACTTGAATGCCCCACCTCCATGTTAGGCTTAGCCTAAGTGGTCTCATTGAAGTCAGTTGTAATTTTACTTAGACTATACTTATGTGAATCTACCGGTATCATTCCTAATGGTTTGTATTATTGTAATGCTTAGTTTCATAGAAAATATGTACAATACCGCAATATATTGATTAAGTATTATAAAAATATTATAGAAACTATGGATCCATTTTTATTAACCTTTAAATGTGAATTTTAAACTGTACTACGTATTATTGGCGTAAATTACGTAAACATGTTTCTCTCCATTTGAATTCCTTCTTTCTCCAAGTTAGCGCCTATTCTACTCAACCCTTCCCGTCTCTTCTGTTTCTATTGTAAATTTCTTTCCGTCTCAAACTTAGCCCCCTCCTCCATCTTACATTGTACTACTCCCCTCCATCTGTGCCACTAACCATTAGAACCTCTTTTAACACCCTCCCAATATTATCTCTGTCCATCTTAGTCCCTCCTCCGCTTATTAGCTTCTTCCCTCCTTATCTTAGGCTGCTCGTTCTAACAAAGTTCTTCCCTCCAGTGCCTAATAATAGTCTGATATTTATAGCATAGTGTTATCCTCTTCGAAATCAATTGTGACAGGCGATCGATTACTCCTTTTCCATACCAAGGCAATCGCAAAAACCGCTGCGACAATCAGGACTCCTCCTATAGGCAAAGCATATTTCAGCTGTTGTTGCGCAGATCCTCGCCCTGTAAAAACAAATTTCCATATTTTAATTGGTGTACACCTATTTCATAATACAGCTAGAGCAGTCACTCCATGGAGTTCGTATACCTCCGCCCTGTGTCTGATAGCAATAATTATACGCAGGCTGTGTATGACGGGCGAAACTGCAGCATCACCTAATGAGATAATGGAATCGCCCTCGTATTCGCTGCCTGAATACGATGGCCGATTCCAATATTTATTTTATGCTCGATAAATTTTGCGTGACCTTGACATTTAACATATTCTTCCGAAAATCGAATGGTGTCTTTCTTTGATTATTATGTAACCAATTCACTAAATTTTATAATAATCCATTCTTTAGGTTTTGCGTAATCTTGCTAATAGACAAACACAAAGATAGACAGACAGCAGTGAAACAAAACCTCCTTGACGAAGGTAATAATGGGCAAGCGTCCTAATCTGTTTTGCAATATATAAAATACTGTCGTCATTATTATAGCAACATGTTTGTTTACTTGCCAATGATGAATGACTTTAGGCCTATAGTGTTGTGATATACCATGAAGTCCTTGTAATCCTATCAACTCGCGTGAGTTAAAGCTCAAGTCAGCAAGGTCAACAAACATTCATATTCATATGGCTTACTATCGTGTAAATTAGCATGTATAAACCATTTTTATATTCACGGTGTATATTAAACAAACTGCAACCAATTTTAATGGCTATTAATGAATAAAAATATTAAATTCAGATCAGATAAACATAGGCCATACGACAGCAAAGTCAACAAACATTCATATGGATTACTATCGTGTAAATTAACATGTATAAACCATTTTTATATTCACGGTGTATATTAAACAAACTGCAACCAATTTTAATGGCTATTAATGAATAAAAATATTAAATTCAGATCAGATAAACATAGGCCATACGACAGCAAAGTCAACAAACATTCATATGGATTACTATCGTGTAAATTAACATGTATAAACCATTTTTATATTCACGGTGTATATTAAACAAACTGCAACCAATTTTAATGGCTATTAATGAATAAAAATATTAAATTCAGATCAGATAAACATAGGCCATACGACAGCAAAGTCAACAAACATTCATATGGATTACTATCGTGTAAATTAACATGTATAAACCATTTTTATATTCACGGTGTATATTAAACAAACTGCAACCAATTTTAATGGCTATTAATGAATAAAAATATTAAATTCAGATCAGATAAACATAGGCCATACGACAGCAAAGTCAACAAACATTCATATGGATTACTATCGTGTAAATTAACATGTATAAACCATTTTTATATTCACGGTGTATATTAAACAAACTGCAACCAATTTTAATGGCTATTAATGAATAAAAATATTAAATTCAGATCAGATAAACATAGGCCATACGACAGCAAAGTCAACAAACATTCATATGGATTACTATCGTGTAAATTAACATGTATAAACCATTTTTATATTCACGGTGTATATTAAACAAACTGCAACCAATTTTAATGGCTATTAATGAATAAAAATATTAAATTGTTTCTATTGTAAATTTCTTTCCGTCTCAAACTTAGCCCCCTCCTCCATCTTACATTGTACTACTCCCCTCCATCTGTGCCACTAACCATTAGAACCTCTTTTAACACCCTCCCAATATTATCTCTGTTCATCTTAGTCCCTCCTCCGCTTATTAGCTTCTTCCCTCCTTATCTTAGGCTGCTCGTTCTAACAAAGTTCTTCCCTCCAGTGCCTAATAATAGTCTGATATTTATAGCATAGTGTTATCCTCTTCGAAATCAATTGTGACAGGCAATCGATTCCTCCTTTTCCATACCAAGGCAATCGCAAAAACCGCTGCGACAACAATCAGGACTCCTCCTATAGGCAAAGCATATTTCAGCTGTTGTTGCGCAGATCCTCGCCCTGTAAAAACAAATTTCCATATTTTAATTGGTGTACACCTATTTCATAATACAGCTAGAGCAGTCACTCCATGGAGTTCGTATACCTCCGCCCTGTGTCTGATAGCAATAATTATACGCAGGCTGTGTATGACGGGCGAAACTGCAGCATCACCTAATGAGATAATGGAATCGCCCTCGTATTCGCTGCCTGAATACGATGGCCGATTCCAATATTTATTTTATGCTCGATAAATTTTGTGTGACCTTGACATTTAACATATTCTTCCGAAAATCGAATGGTGTCTTTCTTTGATTATTATGTAACCAATTCACTAAATTTTATAATAATCCATTCTTTAGGTTTTGCGTAATCTTGCTAATAGACAAACACAAAGATAGACAGACAGCAGTGAAACAAAACCTCCTTGACGAAGGTAATAATGGGCAAGCGTCCTAATCTGTTTTGCAATATATAAAATACTGTCGTCATTATTATAGCAACATGTTTGTTTACTTGCCAATGATGAATGACTTTAGGCCTATAGTGTTGTGATATACCATGGAGTCCTTGTAATCCTATCAACTCGCGTGAGTTAAAGCTCAAGTCAGCAAGGTCAACAAACATTCATATTCATATGGCTTACTATCGTGTAAATTAGCATGTATAAACCATTTTTATATTCACGGTGTATATTAAACAAACTGCAACCAATTTTAATGGCTATTAATGAATAAAAATATTAAATTCAGATCAGATAAACATAGGCCATACGACAGCAAAGTCAACAAACATTCATATGGATTACTATCGTGTAAATTAACATGTATAAACCATTTTTATATTCACGGTGTATATTAAACAAACTGCAACCAATTTTAGTGGCTATTAATGAATAAAAATATAAAATTACATAGGCCATACGACCTTTGATTTTATATCTTTATGTGAATTAACCTTCGACACAGGTATGCGCAGTTTAAACTCCGAAATGGCTTACTGTAGCCTAAAGGGTTACGAACCTTGACTTCTGGATTGTAAGGATACAGTACTAGATGCGGTGCTGGGTATTGGTTTGGAACAGTGCATTTCACATTTTTTACCAGAACTTTGTGAAGTATGAATTTCTAAAAACAATAAAGATATATTCTTATTGTAGCGTTATAACAAATATTGTTCATTGTTATGGCGTATCTGTCCCCTCCCCCAAATACTAGCGCCGCCTCCCCCCACCCCGTTTCCCCACCTATTGCAAATGTCCGATGCAAACAAATCACGTTCAAGTAGTTAAAAACCACCCCATATCACGTTGTTTTGCGACTGTTCCCCTCACTTAATCGTCCCTCTCCACCCCTACCTTCGCCCCACACCCAAACCATTTCATGAGATTATAATGAGTCTAAGTACATAACGTCATCAATGCAGGCGTTTGTGTGATGCATAAGGGTTCCAACCACTTAGTAGTAATTCAATGATAACCCATTCCACTTGCCTCTTGTTGCTGGATTGTCGTAGCAGAGAGAGTAGTTTGGTAGCCGCTTATCAGCTAAAATGTTTAAAAATAGATTTGAATACAATAAATTTGAGTTTAATGGCTTGAATAAATTTCTAGGAAGTGGTAGGCATGTTTGTTACAAAGTTTGGATTGAATAAATAAAATCATAATCACATGTTGATAGGCTTAAAGTATTTCCGAATGGTCTATGTGTAGCAACAATAATTTTATAACCTAGATATATAGGGCCTATATACATGCCAAGCAAGCGATATATATTAATTAATGAGAAGCTCTATCTTTCAATATACAGTAGTGGGATAACAATTGACAAGCCTTCCTAGTTTATCATGGTAATGATGCTGTCAGCAAACACTGACACACACACACACACACATACATACATACAGACACTCACTACCAATACAAACACCGCACAATATGGTGAAGCCGCGTTGACGCGCGCAAACGCAACTGACGCTTAGACCTGAGGCAGGCGAAGCATCAAATAGTTAAAAATAAATGATGATAGGCCTACAAACAATGGTATATTGCATAAGATGAATAGTGGATGAAGTGAACATACCCGGAATTTGGCATTTCTTAGTCAGAAGAAGGGGATTCCTGTTTCTTGTGAGGTCCTTACGACTGCAATTTTCTAACGTTCCAGACCCAGAGGAAGGACAGTTCCAGGTGAATGGTGCTACGCGAGGTATACTGATGTTGCCATAACGTAGACTGTGAATTGAATAATCTTTGAGGTAAATAATTAGTAATTAGGGGCCTATAGTAGATAAAATAATGATAATAATAAAAACCATTATATTAATAATGGTTATATTATCATTAATAATAATAAGCATGGATTTGAGCGCATAATGCATAAAGTCTCTATGCGCTAGACCTTTGTTTTTCCGAGTTTTAATAACAATTATATTAATAGCGTAATAATAATGATGATGATTTATGATTGTGATGATGACAATATTATTGATGATGATAATAATGATAATAATATTTAATAATAATAATAATAATAATAATAATAATAATAATAAATATAATATAAATGGACCTTTGTCTTTGTAATTATTCGAGAAATGTCCTTTTTTTTACTGTTTCGATCACATAGACCAATGGTGATATAACATGAAATCGCAGATTTTAGCTACATGTATGTGTCAGCTCCAAAACATGGGCCAGAATGGAGATTCAATTAATAAATTAATCAACCAATCATAATAAATCAATCAAATAATTCAATAAAAGAATTAATCAAAATCAATCTGTCAAAACCAATCAATTGATCAATCAATAAAACAATATATCGATCAATCAGTGGCGTATCAAGGAGTGCGCGGGGGCCCCAAAGAAGTTACTCGCGCCCCCGTCGCCGCCACCCCCTCCCCCGCAAAAAATCACGGTCAAGTAGTTAATTGGTTTGGTTGTTCGGAGATTGATTGATCGCAGTGGCGTATCTAGAAGCCTTGAAATGGGGGTACTGATGGGGGAACGAAGGTGAAGTGTGTGTGTGGGGGGGGGGGTTGTCGATGACCAGTTAAGGGGCGCTAATTCGCAAAATAAGGTAATGTTAGATGATTTTTAATCAATTCAACCACCGATTAAAAAGTCAATAAAAACCTGTTAATTAAATAAGCCATTTTGTAGTCTGAACTGCGCATGCCCGTATCCAAGGTGAATCGGCATAAACCTATGTGAATGATGTTTGTTTATGTCAGTTGACCTTTACTTAATATGGGAATGTCCAGTTCAGACTACGAAATGACTTATTAATTGTGTGTATTCGCATTATTTAAACTTACTGATGATCAGGTGATAATGTTATATTGCAAAATTCGTCATTAACGAGACCTATACTTCTTCTTCGTCATTTGTCGGACGTTTTAGGCCTACAATATTTACACTTGCCTATCTCTTAATTAAATTTTGACATGCAAATAATAATGGTAGCGCCTCCAAATAAAAATTAATGTTTTGATCTGTGACTTTAAATTGTGGTGATAAATTCGAGAGTCGTGAAGCCGAAAGTAATGGAATGGCTTTAACAGTAATAGCTGTCTCTTATACACATCTAGATGTGTATAAGAGACAGATTACACCTAAGCTATTGTATAAACCATGGGCTTCTCTTCAAGATTAGCATGAGATTCCTTTCGAGATAGTACAGTACTTACAGGCCTACTGTACATGAATTTAAAAGAAACAAAATATATTTAAAAGATGCTTGGTTTATACAATAGTTTAGGAATGCCGGTTAATAAACTTAAGGATACAGATTGATGTTACAGTTGCCCTATTTATTGTTTTATAGTAGTAATTCACAAAATTTAAAAACAAAAAAGCCCATCCAAAGTTCGCAAAAAAAAAAAAAAAAAAAAAAAAAAAAAAAACCCCAGGGTTTTAATTCCAGGTTTTACGGTATAGGGCTACAATAAAGTTGAAATGGAAATGACTTATTGTGAGAAAGGTACCCCACTGTAAGCAAGCTTTTAATGTGAAGTCCTGAACATAAATGTGACAACAGACAAAACAGCTAATGAAAAATTTAGCGGTATCGGTCTAATCAGGGAGATAACTCTGGTTTAATGATTAGCCTAATTAGAACGCCTATCCACGAGCAGTGGCGGCGCCAGCGGGGGCGGGGGCAGCAGGGGCTTAAGCTGGGCCCCTTGAATATGGAGGGGATTAAGGCCCACCCCTCCACCGGACAGGTTAAGCCCCCCCTCCCCTCCATTGGACAGAGCTTGTCAGGCATTCGGACTAAAAATTTATAAAAATAGGGAGGCCCGCGCCAAGCCAACACATGTCTGTGTCGCAATCAGAGAGTGTCATTTCTGGCCATCCAGAGTTTTCTATTCTTTAAAAAAAAAATCTCATTTGGGAGGGGAACACCCTCTCAAAACATTCCCCCCGCTCGGGCCTACCAGCCCAAGTCCCCCTGTCACACAGCTTAGCACCCCCCCATAAAATATATATCCTAGAGCCGCCACTGACCACGAGAATGCCCAGGTCTTTTTAAATACCGGTTAAGTGTTTTGAACTTGTAGGATATCCGCGTTAGTCGTAGTAGGAACGGAACGCGCGCGGTAGCACATTATGCTACTACTACTTACCACCGTAGCATCGTAACGCTAGTTGGTATCCCCTGAGGCAGCATTCACAGTCAGCCAATCGGAAGCACGATGCAATGTCTGTCGCGTTGTCGCACGTAGTCACGCTTACCATCGATCCGTCATACTCGTCAGTATCCTTGAAGCATCTAGAGAAATAATATGCGCGTCATTCAATTGTGATTAAAATTACAGCAGGCTTATCATATTCCGATTCAAGGGGTCCAGCCGGCCCAGGCCCCTAAATTATTATTTTTTATTAATAGAGAAAAAAAGAAAGCTATGAGCCTGTTCAAGTCTACAGTGCCGTTTCCGGTCATGTAGATGATGCTGTACTCACAAAATTTTGTACCTCAGACCCAACTATAGCGGGACTTAGAGGTCTATACCCTTCATCTGTAAAAATCCCTCCCTAGTCCTTTCTATTTCGAATTCCTGGGTCCGCCACTGCTCACAACATCATATGGCCCTCCACAACCGGATATGGATTCCTCCCTCATTGTTCGTGCACCTCTTCTTCTACATGTTTTTTTCTTATTTACTGCGATATGTTATCACAAATACAATGCAACTAATCAAAAGAAAAAAATCTTTCCTTCTGATACTGATTTTGCAGCTGCTATTTAAGATTTAGTATAGGCCCTAAGCAGGCGCGTAACAGGGGCCTTTGGTCGGGGGTAGGGGTGGGGGAAAGGTAATAATTTTTCCGGTAAGTAATTTATCATACCCACACCCCCTCCTCCCCATATAGAAAACAATACGACATAGGGCTTATTTATAATATAGGCCACACACGTATGTTTGAAACTAAATATAAGCATTTTAATCATGGTTTTATTTATTAAAAATATATTCTTTCACCATCAATACACATTGAGGCCCTTCTTTAAAACGATCTATCTTAATGTTCTTTCTATTTGAGTTGGGGCTATTATGTGTTCAATTACCTTAGAAGGCAAAGGAGGACAAGCACAAGTTCTCATCCTCAAAGATGCATGCGAAGCGCGCCAATTTTTTTTTTTTAGTTTAGGGCTTATGTTATATGGCCACACACGTTTTTTTTTAAAACTAAATATAAACATTTTCATTATGGCTTTATTTATTACAAACATATATTCTTTTACCATCATTACACATTGAGGTCCTTCTTTTAGGTAAAACGATCTATCTTAAATTTTCTTTCTTGAGTTTGGGACTATTAGGGGCCTATGTGTTTAAATAACTTAGAAGGCTAACCCTACAATACCTTAAAAAATAATTTCGTGTTTTTAATTCTAATTTTGTCGGAATTGATCGAAACTCCCTAAAATGTGCAATTTTTTTAGGAAATTGGCCTACTTCAAGAAGAAATGCGCTCGAAGCGCGCGAAATTTGAGATTTTTAGGCACATGGGGTGAATAGGGCATCTTCAAGTGGTGGGAAAAGATTTTCCACAGATGGATATTTTCTCCTTGGTCCCCCTGTGGTTACGCCACTGCGGAGAATATCTGGCGGCTTAGATCAA